AAAAAAAAAAAAAAAAAACTTCACCTGGCATCATTGTTGTGATGATGATGTGCCAGATGATGAAAAAAAAAGGAAAGGAAAACAAAGATCTTTTTTTATTTAGTTTTTTTTTCTCCATATTTTTGAAGTGATCTAGAATATCAGTACAGTTACACAACAGAAATTACAGGTGTAATGTAAAATGACATTAAAAACATGTAACTGTGAATAACAAAAAAAAGGCTGAGTTTTTGTTTTTTTCTTTTTTAAGAAAGGCAAATTTTTTTGAAAATGTAAATAGACTTAAAACACATCATACACTCCTGAATTCTATTGTAATTTCACCAATGATTCCTTACAAATATAAAGAAATAAATACAAATGGTGACAATTAACAGAAAAAAGATTATTGGTACAGTGATTGAAATGCAGTTAGGAAATAATTATAAGTGTGTGACCACTTCTTCCTTTACAGCTCTTGGTGGAGAGAAAATATACTTTCTTAATGTTGTAATAGAAATGGGCTGTTTGCTGATTCTAAACCAGTTAGTCACGGATTTCTTTTTTCTGCCTTTAACACCAAGTAGGCTGTCTTATTATGATCTTGTAGCTCTTCTTTTATGCATTGTTGAGTGATCATTTAATTAGGATTATGTGTTGACGTTACATATAGAACTTATGCACAAAGTAATGGTGGCTCAAAAAAGGTTTTCAGTCATCTAGTGTGAATTTAGACATTTTCAGTTTCAAAACATCATATTTTTAAACATAATTTTGACTCTTTTTTTTTTTGACCACTTTGATAGGAGTTAAACAAAATAACAGACAGAAGCCCTGCTGTGTTGACTTTGCTCCCAAAAAACTAGTTAACAAGTATTGCCAAATCCCTAAAGCCAAAATGCTGAACATGTTTTCCCTTATCTATTGAGCTATCTACCAGCTATCAGAATGACACCTTCTTTGCTTTTGTTTTGTTGTTTTTTTTAGATTTTTGGCAGGAGTTAAAGGTCAACTGAATTACAACATGCTTCGTCATGCAGCGATTGGTTCGAGTAAAACACTTTGCGTGGGAAAGAATGTGGTGAAATGATGAGAGCCAGTTTGGTTTCACGAAGAACTTCCAGCTCATTGATTCCCACACAAACGTGGGTGTTTAAGGTGTAATTATATTGTCAGGAGAGCATGTTTTGGCAGGAGTTTTGTCCTTCCTGACACAGCAAATAAACAAAAAAACTGAAGTCTGTTTTGTGTAATCATAAACATGTATGTGTCTTGTTGAGAATGTATACGTTACATGCAAAACCCAAACATGTGCGTCTTTATACAGTCGTCCTCAAATATTTATTCATACCCTCCTATTAAAGAAAGAAAAAAAACAGCTGTCACTGGAATAAATTGAAATTGACAAAAGTAATAATAAATTAAAATTTATTGAAAATCATGACTTTGCTTTTAAATTGTGATTCAACAGAAATATTTTTTTTAAAAAAGAAAGAAAGAAAAAAAAAACAAAAAAAAAAAACAAGCATGATGGGACCCGTAAACTAATATTTTGTTGAGGCAATCTCTGCAGTCAAGTGTTTTCTGTAACTCTCAATCAGACATCTGTACCTGTTGACAGGTATTCGGATTTTGGCCTACTGCTCATCAGCAAAGTGCTGTAATTTTTCCTGGACAGTTTTGTTTTGTTGTTGTTTTTTTAATTATTCTTTTCAACCACAATTCAAAAGCAATGTCTTTTTTTCACTAAATTATAATTTATCATTTTTTATTTGTTATTACTTTTTCAGTGTCTAGTTATCTGAGTGACTGTTGTGAATTTTGCCTTTTCTTAAATGGAAGGGTATGAATACATTTGAGGACGACTGTAGCTATTCACAGTAGCAGCAGTTGTGCACTACAGTGGTCAGTAGGGGGCAGCGTCAATCAGAGGCCAGCGATGCCTCCCTGTGTCACTCAGGAGGAGACAGTATGTGAATAAAGTTCACAACAGATCCAACTGGTCACACATATTTATTTGTTCTGGCATTGAACACGTTATTAGTTGCATTTACTGACACTTTACCGCAAAATAGACATACACTCACAGGACATCTTTTTTTAACCTGTTGGAGACCCTGTGGTCACTCTAATCCTTTTTTCTAACTTTGTCTTGTGGCTTAAGAATTGACAGATTATCAGCTGTTGAAGAAGTCTTTAAAGGAGGCCTGAGTGCAGCAACACAAGGTGATAAAATGTTGTCTCACACAGTTACTGTACGCTTTACTGTACTTCTGTCACAGAGGGGTCAGGCCTCCTTCATTATCATATTGTTGCCATGGCATTTCAAACTCAGGACTCCTGAACTAAGCCATGCATGACAAAGAGGTGATGAAAGGTATGAAGTGCTCCAGTTCGTTGATAGCTGATGCAGATCACAGAGGAGGAAACACCAGTTTGTGGCCCTCAGGACTGATTCTGGACACTCGCTCAGGCTGCGTTCCTTTGACACGATGAGTGTTACATCCGTGAGCAGGCTTCTGAATGACAACGGTAAGACCTGCTATGCAATTTTAAACAGCCCATCATTGCGTATGCAGATTACACTAAGCTGCTGTAGCCTTTTCTTCCAGCGCTGCTCCTCTTAAGTGGACTCTGAGTTTTCTTTTCTGGAGTGTAAGGAAACTGCTTGACACTCATTAAATCACTGCTGTTTGATATTCATTAATTTATTCCATCTGCTCTGACATGGCCTTATTGGACACGTTGCACATTTCTGGTCAATTCCAACTTTGTGTTTAAATATTGACGAGGCCTGTAAAAGCCGATTACGCTCCGTCTGTGTTTCTCTCTATTAATCCAGTTTAATTAGAGACTAGTGGTCCCTGCACTTTTGGGTGTTAAGCTTCAAGTCAAGTGATGTCACTGAGCATCACTGGTTCAAACTACGTCCTGCAAACTGGAACAAACTATGTATGTATGTGTATGTGTATGTGTGTGTGTGCATGTGAGCATTTAATTAAAATCCCTATTATTTAAATCATTAAGTTGTAGAGTGAAGACTTGGGTTAAGGTCAGGGTTAGGGTTAGCCATTGTTGTGGTTCAGGTAAGCTGCCAGGAAGTCAATATAATGTCCCCTGAAACGACAGAAACACAACCATGTGAATGTGTGCGAGAGATGAGTTAAGCGGGTCAGTTTGAGGTGGACCTTTGTCCAGGGTCGGACAGCAGCACATTATTTATTCATGCTGATATATCTGAACGGCTGCCTAATTGCACCAGGAGGAGCCCAATTACGCCCAGCAGCCTACAGCAGCACTGTCTCACATTCACAGAAAGTGGAAAGCGCATCATGTGTCAGCAGTGACTGATGCTGTGCGTCTTATTTACATTTGCAGAGCTCCGGTTCAGCTCTGTAAACACACTATGTTTAGATGCTCAGTGAGATGAATGGATGCTGGAACGAGCGTGAAAGAGAAAAAGACATAAATGTCGAGAAATGGGCTGAAAATTTGTTTGCGGAAGTTCTTGACAAGTGTTTGGTGTTGTTGCTGTGATGATGGCAGATGAAGGTAAGAGCTTCCTGCTGCTGGTTTTGCTTCATTTGTGTAATGTGAGCAGTGAGCACACACTGTTCTGTTGCAGTGGGCTGCAGTGAGGATGTGAAGACAAACTCTGTGACGGGGGAGGTGATCATCTCCCATCAGAATAACAAGCACCTCCTCGCCGCTCATCTTCCTCGTCCTCATCTTCATTCCACTTCTCTTTCTGCAGGTGAGACCCAACCCTCAATCTGAATTCAGTCAGATTTAAAAAAAGGAACATTCAGTCTTATCTCAAAGGCACCTCAAATTATTTTATTCATCAAGCAGCTGAGGGAGAAGTGTGGTTGAACACAGCTCAATCAAATGACATTAAAAGCAGCACTTGAACACAGACTAGAGTGCTTTTATTGTGAACGGAAAGGCTCTTATACATGCACGAGTGCGGCCTCGGGTTGCAGTCAGCTAGATGAGCTGTGTGCATCGGATGAAGCAGAGACAAAACAACAAAGCACACTGAAACTTTATCCTAAAGTTAGACTTTCAGTCCTTCAGGGATGAGTCTTTTTTCCCAGCAGACATTTTGACATATCAGTGTCATGAAAACACACGTGTAAATAATTCAATTAAGGATTAATCCCTAAACCTTTTGGAAAGAAGGCCCACAGTGTGGTATCGAGAAACGGTATCACTTATCAAGGCATGCACTGTAGCTAAGACATTTTCCCCACCAACATGTTTCCATGTTCCTCTGATGCACCACAATTATCTACTCTGACATTCCCATGAACTTTGGTACCATCTCACCATCTCATATCTGTTTTCTTCCTCTCCTTCAGTCCGTCCTCCATCAGATCAGATCTACCTGCAGGCAGCAGCAGTTTTCCAGCAGCTGCATACTGAGAGGCCAGTCACACATCAGGGTCTGCATTATGGAAAAAAAACGGACACACCACCACCCGAGAGCAAACCTGCAGAGAAACAGGCCTACCAACTCGCCTTCAGCACCCTCAAATGTATGATTACTGTGCGCGCGTGTGTGTGAACAATTTAGGATAATATTAGCATCCTTTAACCAAATTTAGTTTTATGATTTTAGCTGAACCGCATATCCTGCCTGGATGGAGCGCACTGATGGTTAAACATAAAGTCAGAGAGAAATTAATTTGATCTACTCTGCTGCCACCTCTGCAGACCTATAAGGCAGCCTTATCTCTATAATGAATAGCAGTGGAGCTGCAGCATATGTCAACTCCTATATTCGGTTTTTGAACTGCACCTTCAACTGCAGAGAGTAGATTAAATAGTATATAGTCGCACATTTCATTTTATCCATGTGACTGCAAATTACTTGAGCTGGAGGTGCAGCAGATGTCTGTTTGGGAGGTGATAAGGTGGTGCATGCCATAGACACACACATAAACACACTTAAAATAAAAGCCACATGTGCACTCATACAGCAACCACACACAGTTTTGCATGCAGTATTCACACTCACATGTAGGGGGCAGCATTAGGTAAACCAAAATTGTACAAAAGAACATCTCCAACAATCTAGAGATACATCTAGTTTGGATTTTATTTGTCAAGCTTTTTGAGGTATCTCTTTTTAAGAAGTCTCAGTATCATGGACGTGACTAGAATTTCCTCTGCAGAGCTGAAAGCAACAAAAAATGACTTTTAAAGCAGCACTGTTTAAAAAAAAAAAAAAGAAAGAAATATGTATATACATAAGCAATGTGTCAAATGACTAATGTGAAAGCTGGATCACATTGACTCACACAGGGATTCCTTTAAGCTCCACAAAGCATTTCAGTATCTTTCGGCTCACAGTTTTGGTTTTCTAAACTGGATCTTAACTGTTTTGGCTCATTCTCACATTTCAGTGTGGTTTCTAGCTGTAAAGGGCAGCTGTTTCCAGCAAGAACAGTTTTTCCCAGCATCGAACAACAGACAGGCACAGATAGAAACAAGCGAATTAGGATAGGAGAACATTTAGCAGGTAGTGAGTCAGAGATTTCTTGCAGAAGTTGGTGGAGAACAAAAATGGATTCAAAAGAGTTGAAGTTTGTCCAGAAACATGACGCCAAACGAATGCTAATGTTTCAGTGTTAAAAAAGCTAAAAGCTAATATGCAATAGCTATCAAACCTGTCCAAAAATGATGCTTGATTATTTCTTCTGGAAAAATACACAACAGTTTAAAAGATTGGAATACCTATGTTTGCACATTACGTCTATTGGAGGGTAAACCAAGTATACAAGAGACCAAACTTTAAAAAATAAAATAAAATAGTTCCACAATTTTGCTGTCAACTGTCCAAAATCCAAAGTATGTCCAAAGGGGGGGTTTTTTTGTTTATTTTTTATTTTTTCAGATTGCTCAGAGTGCAAATCACTCTCTGGGGCAGAGCTGGGTTGTGGGCTCGCTGCAATCATTTCCACATGGTTGTTGTTGAATCGTTCACTCGTTTCAGCTTCACCTGCGCTTCATTTTCAATCAGCGAAACTGATGTTGTGTGACTCCTGTCCATCATGCGGTGCATTCCCAGGCCTGCAGGCAGGAGAGCTGTGAGGCAGACAGTTATGATAGCTTTTGTTTTATACAGTCGAGTATCTTTTTTAAAATTTCGATTATATAGAATATATTAATGTCATGCCATAGCAACTTTAAGATAGTATGTCAGTGTCAAACAATGCTGCTTTCAAACATTCATCAGTCACATCTCTCTCCAGAAACAATGTCCTTGTTTCTCAGTTTTATCCTTTTTTAAATGTTTTTTTTTATTATTATTATTATTTAAGTGTTTTATTGCTGTCAGAACATCAAACAAAACTGCAATTACTGTGCTTCTTCTGGAACCTGAAATCTAAAATAAGCACATCTGTGAATTTGGAAAATAAAACCAAAACTACAAGATGTAAGTCAAAAAACCACGAGGAATAAGAATCCCTCTTCATCAGCGTTGGAGTGTCTTCTGTGAAATTCAGCTGATGTTTTGTTATCCTTTCTGTTCATTAACAACATTGTTTTCCTCACAGATCAAGATTTACTGGAGGCCATGATTACTGACAGCTGCTTCCACACTTCTCAGCAGATTGTGAGTCTCATCAGATTTGACACTTTGAGTGTTTCACAAATCCAAACCTGAAACTGTTTCGCAGTTATCTGTCTTCTAAAGCAGCGTTTGCTGTTCTCTCTCTCGCCATATGAGTGAGCTCCTTCAGAATATGGTGAAATGTTGGCGAGGCAGACAGTGGTGCAGTAAAAGGCCATTTGTATTCAGATCTGTACGTAGTCTGACTGGTTATAGGTGGCAAGTGATGCATACAGGAGAGAGTCAGACACACTCTCCAACTGGGAGACTGTAAATTACACTATAAAACACTCTGCAATTATACATACATGGATAGAGACACACTTAGTCCGTGTGTGTTGGTGTCTGTGTGTGTGTGTGTAAATGATGACTTTATGAGGGACGGGTGAAACATAGAAAATGGGCTGAGAGGTCATTAGTCTGCAAGTGTGACTATAAAACCCACCACACAGCTCTTTATGATTCAACACACATCTTTACTGCAACAGGCATTTTCTAGCTTCCTGCATACACACACTGACAAAAGGAGCCAAGAGAAAGAAGAGTGTGCACAAGGCCGTGAACAAAAGACTGGCAAGTGTATGAAAAGATCTGCTCATCATCTTCGTCTTCCTCTTAAGCATCTACAGTCAATATTTTTACACAAAGAACAAAACCCAGAAAAGGAGTACCTTCTCAAAATGAGACAAATGAATAAACTCTGCGGTTCACTGCAGCTTTACTGAGTATTTTTGCGTCTTTTCACTCACCGATTTGGTTTGAAACTTTATAGTTTTGCTTCAGTCTCACCCAGTTTTTGGATTACAGAGGAGGCAGGGGGGCTCATCTCCACCAGAAGAGACCTGAACTGCCCCAGGAGCAACACTATTTTGATTTAAAGAGGAAAAACAGACAAACAAACATCAAAATTTCTTATTCTGCAATGAATGACATTGCTGCTTGGTGTAGTTAATGCCACATCAATAATGCCTGAAACATGACTGATAGACACGTGCAGAGCGTCTATTATTTATGTTGTTTTATATGCCTATATGTAATTATTGTATGTTGATTAAATGTCATATTATCTACATCAACATTCAGTCAGTTGTGCATTGAAGCAAAGTGTTCTTCTTTATTCATCAGCATGCAGTAAAGACTTTATATCCATCCTCAGTCGCAGACTTTTGTGAAACACGTTTCTCCTCAGACACAAAAAACAAAATTTCAGAACAGAGTGGATGTAGCAGCTGTTCCACTCTGTGACAAATCAGGTCTAAGACAAGCTACATTGGGGGAAAAAAAAAATTATGGCATTTGGGGCACCAGAAAAATACTGACAAGTAACAGAGAATAATATGTCATAGAAATACGGTAATTGTCCATATAAGTTATAAGTTTATATGGCCTTAATTTTACATGAGGCTTTAAATGGTGGAAATTTATTTGTGTAAAAACAATAAAATTACTCATACATTGATTCATTTATAGACTTGATTATTACTATAATACAAATAATTGGGCGGAATACTGCAAAACATTAGTTGGGTTTTATTGTGCAATTTTATGTAAAATATCTTGCAAAAAGATTAAAAATATTGAAAAATTTGTAATTAATTTTTAAATTGCAAGAATCTGCTGTTAATGTTGATCATACTAAGTGTAATATGAGTTTTTCATTGAACTTTACATTAAAATCGTAATGTTATCTTGACTATGTTAAAAATCACCTTCAGAAAATAGCTTTGCCTTTGAGAAGTCGCGAAACTATGTCCAGATCTGACCACGCGTTTCCTGTTTCCTGGCTGCCAACACATCCACAGAGATGCCATCCAGTTAAGCATAATCTCATTCCTTATGTGTGAACACCAGAAACCATTAACCGTTCCAGAAGTCTCTGTCATGGTGGCCCATTTCTAGTTAAACCCCAACAATGCTCTTGACCACATATAAACCACTTTTTTTTTTTTTTTCAATGATAAAAACTATAATTTGACAGTTTGACAATTCTTAATGATACTATGCACTGGTGAAAACACATTAATTCAAGATTTTTGTTGTGAAAACATCTATAATTATACAAGATATCTCATTTAGCAAACAAATCTAGGAATTTACAGAACCAATACTTCTTTGTCTCTATTCGTTGTCAATTGCATCTGGCTTTAGAAATATATTTGCTCTATTAAACTTAAATGTACCATTTTCATCTATTGAATAAAAATAATCTTCATGAAATTACATAATCTCATTATGTGGAAAAAATAAATGCTTTGCTTAAAAAAAATAAAAATAAAAAATAAAAAGTTTATGGTTATTCACAAATAGGTTTTCATTGTTGCTTTACATTGGTCTGGTAAATTCTTGTATTTACTAATATTACTCTCAATTTCAACAACACAGTAAAAGTCTTTGTCCAGAGACGTGTGACAGATTATTTCATGATTCTAGTGTAAGCATGAGTGGTTGTCTCTCTGTAATCTGGCAGACACATACACTAGAGTGACCTGTAAAATAAAACAGAAAAAATCTTTTTTTTTTTTTTTTTTTTACAGTGTCAGCATGAAACTTGAAGGCGACAAGTGGCTTTCTTTTTTTTCTTGTAATATTTTCTTTCACAGGCAGTAAATATCTTCTAAAAAGCCACTTTGTCCTCTTGAAGCTGTCGGTTTTTTTGACAGGGTTTTTCATGGAAGCTGTGTGATCTCTGAACATTAAAACAATTCTGTGTCTGTGAGCTGCAGTTGCTTCAGAATCCTTCACTTTTTTCACACTTTATGTTGTAGGTTTAATTTTAAAAGGATACAGTCAAATCAAATTATTTTTTCTTGCTTTTAACAAACTTGCAAAACATGTTCTAAACATGTTTTCATTTTGTTTTTTTCGTTTTTATTTTTCATGTTTTTCAAAAATATGGAATTTTTTTTTTTTTTTTTAATGTGTAAAAGTATAAAAAGTAGATGCCTGTCTGCCAAAGCTTGTTGGTTTTGACTTCCTCTTTTTACACTGCTGCTTCATAACTGGAATTTATTAATCATGAACCTGACCATGTTTTACAGTCCAGCGACTTGTTGCCGTTGGCGATGGTGATGCTGTTTGACTTCCAGGACAGAAGGTTTTTGATGTGTGAACGATCCACAAAAGAAGGGCAGGAGGTTATTCAGGAAGTCAGAGACATGGAGAAAAGTCTGCAGAGGTGTGTGGGTGGGTGTGTGTGTGTGTGTGTGTGTGTGTGTATCTGCGTGTGTGTGTAAGAGTTTCTTTAATGCAGTAAAGTGAACATGTTCTATCCTGTGTTAGCAGCTTTCTCAAATCTGTTCAAGTTACTGTAAATCTGGAAAGTCAAACTTTTGCTACGACACATAAAAATGAGATCTGAAGTGAATTCATGGTAGAGATGGCTGTGATGTGGTGTCTGTGCTGATTACAGGTGTAAGACCAAGCTGGCAGCATCTCTGGCTCGCTACAGAGTGAAGGAGAGTCTGCAGAGTGTCTCCTGCTTTCTGTCTGATGCTGTCAGAACCAAACAGCACCGAGCAAAGAGTCTGCCACTATACGCATGGATCAACACTCTGCAGACCAGGTAAACGTGTTTTCTTTTCACAACCTATCATGAATTTATTCTGCACTTATCTTCTCTTTCCTTCAGTTTCAGTTTTGTTGATGTAAATATGGATATAAAATGAGAAGTACAGTGAAAACGATGCTGCCTGAAGAAGTGTAACATGCTCGAAAGACCCCAGAGTAGCTTCCAATAGAATTCTTCTTGTATTTTTCAGACTATTAAGGGCCCGTATTTAAATTATCTTGGTTTTGTCCACCTTTCTTCATTTATATAAAGTCCATCTATACTTTATGTTTCATTTCATCTTTCAGATGTTGTTAGTGTAGGGAAGAGTGTTAAAAGTTAACAGAGTGGCATTTTGTAAACTGAGTGGCATGCTGTGAGTTTAAAGAGACAGGTTTTTGTTGAGGAGGGGGGTCACAGTGCAAGTTTAATGGTCAGTGACGTTCATCGGGGCGTAAATGAGACAGGAAGGTTTTACACTGTGACAGCTCGAGGGTAGAAAGTGCAAAAGCTGAATGCTGAAACCAGAGAACACTGTTGTAAAGTGTGTTAGTTTGAGCCGCTGATGTATCTGTACGACGCTGCTTTTAGTGAATATCCTGTATTTAAGTAGGACTCAGTGATGTATGAGTCTCTGATGAAACACACAACATATTTTTTTTGTAGTCTTGAGGAGGTTCGTGAAGCGTTGCAGAGCACTGGCTTGCATGAAGTAGAGAACATGACGGATCTGAGGGAGGCGACGTTCTGCATGGATCCTCTCTGTCCAGACACACTCGTCTTCTCCCAACGTCTTCAGGCTCTGCTCCAGCACAGCAGCCTCGACAGCACACATATGCTGAACATACAGGTAGATTATATTTAAAATCACCAATTAGAAACACGCTTTTCCTTCTCTGCAGTGTGCTTCAGTAGATAATTCTAGCAAACAGGGACAAGACTGCTAGAAAGAGTGTAGCCATATAGTGCTTTATAGTGGAAGTTTTGTAACTTTACTGACTCTTTTCTAATGCAGAGGTGCAAGGACAGGTTTATTAACGTACTGTAGTCCAAGTACAAGTTAAAGGTGACAGTTTAAAAGAGATTTAACGAGATGAACATTGCGGGATATGATTGTAATGACTTGAATAGGTCGAGACGACAGAGTTCAAAATTAAAGTGCGCCAACAATGCAAATGCAGATTTATCTCATTATCTTTGCCAGTTCAACCTTTCATCACAAACTCCCGCAGCTTTCCAGGTCCGACATTTATGGAGCCACAGCAGCATTTGTATTCTGCACGACCACCTTAATGAAGCACAGTCCTTCTGTATGGAGTTATATTAAGGAAAGGAAAAATTACTGGTTTTAAAGAAGAACTTTGGAAGAGGGAATGTAGTTAATTAGTTCATTTGTTGGCTAATAGTCCTTCTTCTACATGAGCAACACTGAAAATTACTGCTGTTAGAAGTTTTGCCCTTTTTTTCTCTGGCTGGAATTCCTGTTGTGATGTGAAGTTAAAGTTGTGTAATTTGCTTGATTAGAAGCACAGCAGTCCATATTGCTGGAGGGTCCAGAAGGAAGTGACTAACGTGTACATCTGTGTGTGTTTTTGTGTTACCGTGTCCGTGTAGGACAGGAGCGTGTGCGTTGCGGTGAGCGCGTTGCGCCCCCTGCTGTTCGATAAAGGTGACGTCCTGGTGGCTGGATCCTTCTCAGCTGTGACCGTCGCACATGTAGCTGTTGCAGCAGCTGCCCGCTCAGGCCGAGTGTTGCTGTGCGCTGCTGATCATAAACCTTCACAAGTAGAAGAAATACAAGAACGACTCACACAAATGGCCATCAAAAGTGAGTGACACAGGAACCTCCGAGAGACAAAATGATGGCACATTACAAGTGGAAATCACGAATGACTTCACTGATTGTTTACTTAAAGATTCACGGTCGTGTAGTTTGTGGTTGTAGCTGAAATGTATTTCAGTCTGTACCACAGCTAGTGACTGTCAGTGATGCACAACATGATGATAATTAGGAACCACCTGAAATCTCAATTTCCAGCTGCTGAGTAAACAAGAGGTTGATTTCCCTTTCTCCAGTTCAGAACTACATTTAGTCTGTTGCTAGTCCATAAATGGGCAAACTGATGTTGTCTACTGGTACCTTTGAGAGTTTGATGGGTATTAAGTGGTCACTGGTGCTCACTAGCTCCATGAAATAGCCAAAAAATGCTCGACTGCTTGTCTCTTATATATTACCTAATTAATTGCCAGCTGTATGAATGTCCATCCATCCATCCATTATCTATACACCGCTTAATCTTCACTGGGATCACAGGGGGCTGGAGTCTATCCCAGCCAGCTCAGGGTGAAGGCAGGGGACACCCTGGAAAGGTCACCAGTCTATCATAGGGCTACACTTAGAGACAGACAACCAAGCACACTCACATTCACACCTACGGACAATTTAGAATCACCAATTAACCTCAACATGTTTTCAACATGTTTTTGGCCTGTGGGAGGTAGCCGGAAAACCTGGAGAGAACCCACACTGCACAGGGAGAACATGCAAACTCCACGCAGAAAGATCCTGGGCGTCTTAACCGGGACGCGAACCGGGAACCTTGTAGCTGTGAGGCAGCAGTGCTAACAGCCGAGCCACAATGCAGCGCCATATGAATGTAAACACTTTAAGTCCAAACTTAGTAGTGACTAAATGTAGTTTGCTTAGGTTGGTAGTGCAGGTTGTATTTTCAGTCATAGGATGGAGACTTCCGGTATAAACCTGCCATTTCCACAGCTACAAGGAAGCCGTTTATGCTTACCTGGAACTGCCATCTCTAAACAATGCAGGGTGTTTATGACACCACTTATCAGGTTCTTATAATGCAGTCTTGAAATCCCTCACCAGAGAGTTTCACCACCACTAACATCTTGAGTGAACCTGGCAGTTTCACAACCCTTCACATCTCAAGACATACAAGTCTTTGGTCATTAATGAGAGTGTAGCCATGTGAGGAATGACAATATACATCTGGGACTCCCCTTCAGTTTGTCAAAACTGAAAAAGTCTCTTGAGAGGGAGGCGAAACATCTTCAAAAACCAAAAAAAGAGATCCAGTTGCCTTCTACTGAAGCTCATAATGTTTGAAAAAAAATAAACAAAGCTTTTCCTCCTATAGCAGAATGATGATATTGTGCAGTCAGACCACTCTACAGCACAGTGCTGTGGACAATGGCCTGACAACACAACACTAATCACTTGGTGACTCTTCAGTGCATGATTTCCCTTCAGGATTAACTGTAGCTGTATGCACTCAGATGTTTTCTGGATTTATTACAATATTTTTATTGTCTCCTGTTATTTTTGCAACTGTCATGGTACAACACACTAAAGTACAAATTGGTAGACTTTGATCTATTTGCTGTTAAAAAAAAAATAAATAAAAAAAAATGCCACAAACATCAGAGTCAGTTACGAAAAAGCAGTTCTTGATTTCAAAATTTATCAGTTTTGCCTACAGCTTAATAAGCTCGGAGGATAATGAAACCTGTTGCACTTGATGCCTACATATCATGTTGCTGTGTCCCCCACTCAAAATTCTCCAAACATTTATAGCTGCAAACGCGATATGTGCTCCTGTAACTGTACATAAGGTTAATACTTCAGCCGCGTATTTTTTATGAGAACCTTGTCAGATTGTAATTGCTTTGTCTGCTTTTAAAAGAGGAAACAACGTACTGTGAATCAAAGCAGCTCATTCCACCTTTAATGAGTATTTGTTCCTGATTATAGCCGATTGCTTTTAAATGCTCCTCTACATCCCGTTGTAGACGTTCGCATCCTGTCAGACGCATTCTGCAACCTGAATGAGTTCGACGCCACCGTCCAGCGGTTGAAGGTCATCATCGTGCTGCCACAGTGCTCGTCTTCGGCCCTCAGTGACCCGGTGACCACCATCCACAGCGAACATGGCGGTATGAGAGCAAGAGATGTGTCCTCTCCCAAAACCTTAAACCTAAAGGGCCAGAGGCTCCTATTTTATAAAGAGTGCATGCAATGCTGCTATGACTTCAGATTTCCCTACCATTTATTTACATTAGAATTTAACAGAACCAACGCTGAGCTCTCGTAGACTTAATGCAAGTTAAAGTCTCTCAGTTGGCAGGACTGACACTGGAGCTGGACAATAAAAGGAGGCAGAAAAATCAGATGAAAGAATAACTGCAACAAAATGAAATCCAAAAACATCTGTCAGATATAATAGCAGTACCACGAAGAGTTGTTGTTGTTCAATTAAATTTCAAATGTGAAATTGGTTCTGCTCTGTTGACAGACTGGGATTTGCTGCCGGAGTTGTCTCATGGTTCTGTTTCTAAGAACAAAATACACTCTCTGACCTTCCAGCAGGCTCGACTACTGGGACACGCCCTCAGCTGTGAGTACACTCTGACATCATGCACACAGATACACAGGGTTTTCAAGCAAAGCATGAAGAGTTAAACATAAGCACACAACTAAAATGTGTTGCCATTTCCTAGGTGCATTCTGATAGCAAGATACCTGCACTTCATTGTCAGAGCCTTTGTCTCCTTCTTCCTCTGTCAGTCCCAAAAGTCCAGACTGTGGTCTACTGCACACGCTCAGTATATGCCGAGGAGAATGAACACCTGGTGAAAAGAGTGTTGGAGAAAGCACACACTCACCCCAAACTGCTACCCTTCAGGTACAGTAAACACACACCTGGTCAGTCTTGGTGTAGTATTGATTATCTGTCCATCAAGCATGTATTTAATACAGATTTTCAATGTCCACAGGCTTAAGCTATAAATGAAATGAGAAAATAGGCATCAGACATGAAGTGCCAGTAGACAGGACTGCTTTGAGACCAGTGTTTGAGCTACTTTATGTTTTACATGATGGTAAAAATAGTTTTGGTTTGATCATTTGGTTGAGGTTTTTGTTGGTTTCTTAAAAAAAAAAAAAAAGTTTGGCTATTTTCCAATACAGTTGTGACTCGATAATCTGACACTAAATGTAAAACCTTCTTTTATGTCGGATAGCAAGGCTGTTGGATTGTCAAGAAGGAGGTCAAGATACAAGGAGGGCTTGATGGTTGAAGGTTAATTTGTTGTTAATTATTGTTCATTGCTATTATAATAACTAGTAGGGCTGGTCCGAATAGCGCCTTCTGGTCTCTGGATATTCAGGCCCAATTAAAGATGAATATCCGAATATTCTGACCGGTTGGCAGGACCACTTCCGGATCGGGGTGGAAGTGGTCGGAACACACAGGCAGTATCTGGCTGCTGATGCCAGTTTAGGACAGTGGTCACACTTCTGCTTCCACCATTGGTGGCAGCAGCACCATCCATGTTTACTTCCAAAACACTGAGCACATTCGCTGCATGTGACGTCGTTGTGTCCTCTTTTGCGCATGCGGGACACTTTTGGGTTATATGAAGTTCACACAGCAGATCACATACATGTCACATTTACTTGGAAATGTAAAACAAACTCGCAAAAAATCGGATTTTACAAAAAAATCTGAATTGAGCATTAAGTCCTGCCATCTGACTGTAGCCAATCTGTCCAATCATTAACTAAGATAATACGCCGTTATTCTTATTTGTGACATAAAATGTCACGTCGAAGTCGGAATCCAAGGGTGTCGGTATGTTAAGGCTATTTTTCATTGGTTCCATTCGTTTTTCCTAAAAACCTGTCAGATAGCAAGGTTTTCGGATTGTTAAGGGTCGGATTATCGAGTCACAACTGTAAGTCTGCCCGTTTTCTCTTCCAAGAACGATGACAGAGACTGAGCTCTCAGTGTGTTCTGCTCAACTCACAATGACCAAATGTCAGTTCAGGTTTTTTCAACAATATCGATTCCTTTTTTTATTTTACTTTTTTAAAATTAATTTTCTCCAGTCTTTTCTGTGATAGAAGCTCATGAAAGTACATACTGGTGGAAACCTTCAGTGTTTAATAGGCTTAAAGACCTTTACCTTATGACTTCTGTTACATGCAGTCTATAAATGTCTAAAACATCTCAGGTTGTTGTTTTCATTCACATCCAGCATTCAAAAAAGCTTTTAAAAACTTCAACCATCACAACTTTAATTTAGGATTTTCACAACTCAGTTTTGGGGATTGTTCTTAAAAGAGCAACAAAACAGGAAAGCAAATAAGTTTTGTTCTATAAGGTTATAACCTCATCCACTGAGCGCCATGAGACAGTCTGTTGTGTTGGTTTTTCGCTGGTCTCAAAATGAGATATTGATTGCTTGACTGGAAAATGACTGGTCCCTTGGTCGCATAAGTAATGACATGCAAATCACGTCTCATGCTGTCAGGCCTCATTTCTTCTTAAAACAAACTGTATTAAAGTATAAATGTATACAGAAATTGGCCTAAACTTGAAATTTCATTAACAAATAATTAAGTAAATTATTGCATACTGTATTTTATAGAGTCTAAGGACAAGTGTGTCTGTGTTTGAGAATGACAGTGAACCTGTATATGTGCGTGTGAGCGGTTACAGTCAGTAGACTGATGACAGCATAAAGGATCAGCTGCGGTTGCTGTGGGGACTGAAGTTAATCCTATAGTCGGGGTGAATGGGGTGGAGAAGGTTTCAGAGTCAGTTTCACGCCTCCTGCTCCACTGAATTCATTTTCTACGATCCATCCTCTTTAAGAAATCCAAATCTTATTATATTTGGCCTCTAAAGCTCTTTTATCAACTTATATTTGTGCCAAGAGACAATGAGCAACTGTTTGATCTTGGTGTGTGGAGTGTGTGTTCAGTGAAAACATGTCTGGCTGTGTTGTTTTTTATGAAAGATGGCAATGACTCGCACAGCAGCAACCTAAACCGAACACATGCTGGTATTCCAAAGTGCTTTTAAAAAGGAGGACATTAGATATGTGTCCACAGTAGACTGCGATACATACTGTGTATATCCACATATAATTGTGTGTTTGTCATCCTTGGGACACTAAGATAATATTTATTGCCTCTGCATGTTTTGAGCTAATTTACATTAAAAGCGTAACCTCCCTTGAATCAGTTTCAGCATCTGTTTCAGGGCATCAGTGACAGTTGACCACTAGCCCCAAAAGTCCCCTCTTGAAATTCAGTGTATAAGTACAGCTCATATATGTGAAATTAAGAGTTATATTTAGAATCTTTCTGTGTCAGTTTACTGTAAAATTCTAATATTTTACAAAATTATTCTAAAACATCATTAACTGACAGAGCTGCTGGCTGTAACTGGTGCAAACATCTTGTTTATGCAGATTTCCATTTGTTTAATTTGGTGTTTATGTCCACTGTGTCACCTGATCAGGTTTGGTTGTCGGTACGACTTCTGATACTGTTGGGTTCTTTAGAGGTGAAACAGACTCAACCAGACACTGTTTTTCAGCTACTTAAAAAAAACAAAAAAACTCAGAACTTCAAAGCACCACAACATTTAAGCTTAAAAATCATTAACATATACACTCATACAAATTCTGGGCGCCTGAAATAACATCGCTCTGGGCTTCAATCATTAAATCCTTTTTCAGTTTCCATCCTGCTGTAGACGAAAAGTTGACCCCAGTCAAAATGAGCGTAAAATATAAACGGTATCTTGCAAAAAATAGCACTGAATCGAGAATATTTATGCGAACGAAGGTCACACCAGCACATCATCTCCATATTTGAACAATATTTAGACAGCGAGCGGTCTGCGGAGAATTGCCATCCGAGATTTACTAACATACCTGATGCTGAGGGCACTTACGCCAGATGTACAACACACAGGACTCAGCAGTGACAGCTGGCAGCACAGAGGCCCATAAACAAGCTTGTCCTGAGGCTCTGAGCAGGATAATCTGTCAGGAAAGACACTGACAAGAACCTGGTGGACCAAATCTCTCAGCCGCCTGCACTGACAGTAAACATTTGTGCATTTGAGCTGTAGCTGTTGAACCTACAATTATGAATGTTTTTTTCAAGAACTGTGCCTAAAAACACTTTGAAACAAAATGCCACATGATGTAGATCAAAAGAATCCTGTTTCGCGTGTTTGCTTGTCAACATAATATATGGTACCTTGGTTCAATTTCCCCAAGCAGCCAATTCATGCGTGCAGTACTCCCATTCCTTTACAGTAATACTTTCATGTGGCAATGATGAATCAAAATGCTACACAGCAGCATTTACTAACATGATTTCATTTTGCTCCGTGCTGCTTTCTCAGGGTGAACGGTCCGATTTTCCCTGATGACTCCCCGTCAGGAGACGCAACAGACTCCAAGTTTTTCAGGCTAAAAGCATCTCAGTTCACAAACGGCTGCTTCATTGCCAGACTGTCCCGACAGGTGAGAGACGGGGGGGGGAGTGTGAGACATGGAGCCTGAAAGGATAAAAAAAAAAAAAAGTGAGGAAAATCTGGAGGACAAGGTTTGTAGAGTGGGGGGGCGCAGAGGTTTTTGTAGTGTGTGTTTGTGCTCGAGCATTTATGTGTTTCTGTGTGTGATTGCTTTGCAAAGAGACCTTCCAGTAGTGCTGAGGCTGCACTCTTTTACTGTCTGTCTGCTGGGAGGTCAGTCGGCTCTGCTTGTCTGCACACACACACACTCACACACACACCCGGGTGTAGACTATTGCTCCTTGAAAACACTGCAGCATTATTCCAATATCCCATAAAAAAGCGAGACAAGTTAAAGATGAAATACGCCCGAGTCACTGAAACATTTCAGCACTTGGGGGGCAGAGATGAATGGATAACTCTCTGTCGTTCTTCCAGCCCTCCCCTCCAACCCCTCCAGTCCTGTTGCATCACCTCGTTGCTCCGTCTACTTGCCCCCTCCTCTTGCTCAACTCATAAAAAGAAGAAAAATACAACAGAGGGAAATGAGATGCTGCTCCTTTGATCCCCTGCAGCTCGAAAAAATGGTGCAGTGGGAGCTGTGCCTGCGTGCGTGTTTATACAGTTGCAATCAAAATGATTCAAACCTGCCGAGTTCAGAAGGGTCGACACGGTTTTACAAATGACATTTGCTTGAGTTGAGTGACAAAATCAAAATTATGATTAATATGTGCAAACCCTATGTAATATTCCTGTTTTTAACTAGTTATTAGTGTGGAAGGCAGACAGTTTTTTTTTTTTTTTAAACACTATTAAGCTTTTGGGAACTCTAATGACACTGAATTTGTTTGCGCTGCCATACAGATATAAATCCCGCCTGTGCAGATGTTAGAGCCGAGTAGAAAACATGGCAAAGATAAAGAAGCTGCCTCAAAAGCTAAGAGATGAAATAATTTCATCACACCAAAACCGCAGTGGTTCAAAAAAAAAAAAAAATTCCAATACATTTAAAGTTCCAAGAGACACGGTTGGCAGCCTCACAAGCAAGTTTAAAACTCAAGTTACAGCAGCGAATCCTCCTGGGTGACGAATAAAGCTCAACATTTTTCCACAGGGAATCACATGTTTGAAACCAACGGTTTAAAAGAACCTTCTATTGCTGAAAGAAGACTTGTAATTTGGCCTGATGAAGGCAGAAATAAAGTATCACTAAACAAACAAGAATTCTCAGACATTGCCTCCCTGTATTGTTAATTAGTTTCTAGACTTCACTAGAATCTCACTGAAAATCTTTGGTGGAATTTAAAGAAAGCAATGGAACCCAAAACTTTCCTGTGAACATTCCTACTCATCTGGATCGTGGCATATTTACCTGCTAAAACAAAGTAAACATGACTTAATTAAGGTTCTTGAATACACGTCACCTCTAATCTCAAGGGTGAAACGTGGCCATGGATCTCATCACTGCATTGTAAGTTGTGTCATAGATAACCTTCTCTGTTTCTGATGATTCCAGTTTCGTGTTGCTTTTTTAATGTTTCTTTTAAACCACTGGTCTTCTCTGACCAAAGTCATTAACTGTGCATGTAAAGATGGATAAACCCACCTTGACACCGTCACCCAGAGGTTTCCTGAAAAACAGTTTTGCTTCTCAGTGTGATGGTTTTCAGCTGATCCAAAATATTACAAAAAAGTGAAGTGAAAGTGGAGTTGAAGTTGGACATGCAAACATCTTTGGGTCACAGACCTGTCCCTCAAGGAGGCGACACCTTTAATTATGCCTAATTTTAAGCCTTAACACAATTTTAAAAAGTGAGCTATATTAAAAATTCACTTCCCTTACAGCTGCCATGGATGGGGACATTAGCTACAGAGACTAAAACCTTTCTTGTACCAGGCTGTAAATGTGTTTATTTCTGATATAAAGTTGGTCATTTTAACATGGAGATCTATGAGGAGTGAGTCTCTTTTGGATTCAGCCTCAAGTGGCCATTTGAGGAATTGCAGTTTAGTCAACTTCAGCATCAGCTTCATTATTTAGATGCTCGACCAAAATGTGTACATTGCTGTCCTCAGATGACTTTCCCTTGTTCGTCAGATGACGATGCTGAGTCCTGACCTGAACAGTTGGCGCTCCTGTGTTCTGTCATGCACTTATTAAGTTGTATTTTTGACCCAATGTACAGGACTGTGCATTCCTCTGCACAGTGAATTGTGTACTCTACATCGCTCTGCTTAAGGGTCTGTGTGTTTTGTCCTTAGAGGGGACAGACTTCTGCCTCGGCATGTTACTGGGCCTTAGGTGCACAGCCATGTAGGCAACACAGGAAAGCCAACTCCTCCAACTGTCCATGCTCACAATTCAGGCCTAGAAAGCATGACATGAAATAAGAGAAGCAAAAGTAGGAACAAGTCCACTATTCAGACATGTCAAAAACAGGCAGGTAAACCAAAGAAACTCTGGAATGCTAGAGCGCTAAGGCAGAGAACACGAAGACACTTTAGAAACAGGTGGATGGAAGTCCGGTGGTATCAAGACTGACAGGGTTCATTTAGGGAAGTGAATGTAGGTGTGCAGATAGTTGGGGAAGATCAGGTGACTGACTGGTGGAAACAGGGCAGATGGGAGATATGACAAGGTTCGTGGATGCTCTTCTTTTCCTACACAAGCTGGCAAAAGTGATGGCAAGCGGCGAAGGAGGAGCATTTTTATCTTAAATAGAGGGAAATGGAGAAGGTCTCACCTTAGACAAAGCATGGATCTGTCAGAGCAATCAGGTTTATTGTGTCAAGAGAATGATGCCACAGAGAAAATAGTACACAAGCAGTTGTAACTTGCTGGCTGTACTGCTGCATATTAAGTATATTTATGGCGTTCATTAACACATTCATCAGATTAATATTGCATTGTTGCTTGGCATCAAGACCAATGGTGTTGTGTTTGTTTATGCCATGTGCTTGAGGTAGGTGTCAATGCCACTTTTACGACCTAAATTCAATGGGACATCCAGTGCATGCACCAGCGGAGATGCCTTTTAAGTGTTGTGCAGGCTTGTGTTACTAACGGTAGACAATGCAATGTTGCAGAGCTGGTGAATGCTGAATAAACCTGAATGATTGAACTCAACAGTGATGGTAAGTAATGACAAACTACTGTAAGAAAGCTCATCATTATGTTGTTAAAAATCAGTCAGTTTTTATTCAGCTTTACTTGACTGTTTATCAAGTCTGTAGCTGATATGGTTTAGTTAAATTTTATCAGCAACATCAGAATATCTTTCTGATTGATGGTTTTGGATTTTGATTTGCAACTGTATCAACACAAACCAGTACACGGGGGCAGATCTTGCTGTCCTGTCCAGCTCGGTGCAGTAATTTAAAATCTAATGATCCTGTCTAATTGGATCGACATTCACTCTCACTGTGAGTCAAATCACATCAGAGCTGCTGCTGCAGATTTAGTTACGCTGATACTACTGAGGTGATTCACCGCTGCCCAGATACACGACGAGTCAAACTGCGCAAGAGGACATTTAAAGGGATTTTAAATAGACACGTGCCGCCTGGAGAGACGTAGAGAGATAAGAGTTTTAGTGAGTCTTAAAAAGTTGGGGGGGTTTTTGTTTTCTTTTTTCAAATATTCATAGATTGAGGCTATGCATCCACATATTGTATATGTTATCACATCTGACAGACTGCCAGGCTCCAGTCTTCCATCGAGTACGCTGTAGTCGCCACCATTTCATCACAAAATGCAAATTTATAAACTTAATTAAAAATGTGAGGTTTACAAATAACTCAACACAATAAATGTTGGTAAAGTAGAACAAATAAATAAGATTAAGAGCTGAGAATGTACCTCTAAATCCAAAGACACCAAAAGCACAAATGCAAAGCTAATAGAGACGTTGCAGGAAAAGCCAGAGGATACATCATCTTGGATCCATTAATAGTTTCAGAAAAATTAGTCCATTCAAAAATCCAGCGTACCAATGACCTTGCTGTCACTAGGGTCATGCATTAGTCTGGAAGCAGACACTCCCGCCAGAAAAATGATCCATCTGTCCAAAAAAACAACAAAAAAAAGAAGAATAATTTCATCTGTTAAGCCCATCAGACTGGTTGTCATCATTTAGGCCTGTCAGACTGCAGTATTTCACATTTTACTACAAACTCTCATTTTGGCAGCGCAATTAAAGTTGTGAGTCTTACAAATGACCCAAAGAATATAATGCTGTCAAAGCAAGAAAAATAGAAAGACAGATATAACTGTCCAGAGTGAATAAAACATGCATTTGCAATTTTTTAAGCAGTGTGTCGAACATCATTCAGCTTTCATAAGAGAAGAAAAATATGTGAAGATTAAGACAGAGGGACAAGGACAATGAAGGCTCAGGAGTTTTAATGAGACTTCTGCTGTTTCTTTACTGCAGACAGACACCCTTTCCCTTGTGTTCAGATTATATATCATAGAGTATAAGATGCCGTGAACTACAAAATGTACTAAAGTTGAATTTATCTCAGTAATTTTATTGAACATGCTTGTAGGCCATTTATTTTAGGTAAATAACCAGCAAGCTGTGATGCAGAATCGCTGGTTCACCACTAAAAACATCTCAGGAGCTACTGTCGTGTGCAATGCGCTATGTTCTTGGTCTCCAGAGGATGGATTCCAATTAAAATCAGTGATCCCCTGACCTGTGCTCTATTGATCTGATTCGACTAACTGCTCTCAATAAATGTTTAAATGATAGCGATGTTTCGATCGCAGGAAACGCACCTAAACCTGACCGAACATCAAGTGTAATAATCATAATATCGGTCCCATGTGAACCTCTTCTAGGTAAAAGCATACGCGGGTCATTTCAGATGACTGACTGATATGATTGTTTAGGTAGAAGGGCTTGTTGTGTTCTCACATAAGGAGAGATGGGAAGAGATAAGTAGCTGGGGACAGGAACCCTCATGGTGGCTTTTAAATTCCATCCCATATTTGTTGCAGTGTTGGGATTAATAAGCCATCAACCACCCTGCAGCCTCTCCTCCCCCTCCTCCATGGTACGGCTGTAGCTCGCTCCTACTGCATTGTGTTTTGTTGCGTGGATCTCCTCGCTGCTATGTTACCCTCGAGACACGTTGTTGTATTGTGCTGTGTCTTCACATTAAATCTCAAAACCACCCTTGATCTTTCAGGCCGATCCCACGAAGGTAGAAACGGTCCAGGATGTGCTGGCGAGGGCAGCAGCAAAGGGCCTCCTGGGCGGAATAATTCCTGAACAATCAAAAACTGGCAAAAAGGGGAAAGGCAAGAAGAATCAAGCGGCTTCAGCCACCAGCAAACCTTCTTCCCCCTCCAGCGAAGAGAGACGGATGGGAGAAGAGCTTGTAAAGGAAGAGGATCCAGCTGCAGCTTCAGAAAACGAAGAGGGGAAAGTTGAGGGAGAGTTTAAGGACGGTGAAGAACAGGAGGAAAAGGAGGAAGCTAAGGAGGAAAAGAAGAGGAGGCGTAAGCAAACAGTCAAACGGCGTCCAAGACTACCCAAGAAGACGCCCACAGCCTCCAAACCTAAAAGCCACAAGAAGAAACCAACAAAGAGAAAAGACAACCAACCACATTTCAGGAGGCGTCAGACGAAAAGCAAACCAAGACGAATACCTCGACTCACGCTGACGTTAATCTCGTCTGCGAAATCCTCCAACCACTTGTCTCCAATCGCAGCTCTCGCACACAAGCTGAGTGTCACTCCTGCCGTTAAATCCCAGCAGACTGTCCTCAGCTCTCCTCCTCCAGCAAGAAAACATCCGTCTACTGCTCATCGCGGTCCAGCGGCTCCCCACAACACCTCCAAGAAACAAAACCCAAAGCCGGAAAAGGCAGAGAAAACACAGAAGGACGCGGCTAAACTGGTGAGAAAAGTGATCAAACCAGAAAACGAGGTGGTGAAACAGCCGGCAGATTTTGTTTTGCCTCCAATTTCATCAACGTCTTCAAGTTCTCAACACAGCAAAAGTGGACGTTCCGCCTTACAGCCGCTTTCCAGGACGTCCAACTCTCAGCTCGCCAACATTTCTGCATCTTCGTCCTCAGTGTCTCTGCCTGGACTGTAAAATCTGATAGGATGGATTATAAAAAGTGAAATCATGAAGTCAAGGATGAGTAAATGTCAAACAATTAAAAATTTAAATATTTACAGAGAGGTTAGTACAGTGTTTTTGTCTTTTGAATCAGCTCAACAGCAGCTCAAACTTCTATTTAAATGTAATTTTACAACAGAATGTAACAACTCCTAAAGATTTGAGAAATAAAAGTTGTGCAAATGTATTCAGGTTATTTATTATTTTCTTTATATTTTATTACAATTAGGAACTGTACATACATTGTTACAGGGGAGGGTGGAGCGCTTTTGTGCATTTGTCATTACATAGAAAAGCCAAAATAGGACCAGAATAGTGGGAAACTTTTAATTTGTTTAAATCTCAAAAAATATTTGAATTCTGCTCCCGGAACACTTAGAATACAAGCATATATTATAAAAGGGAAGAGATTGTGCTACTAATGTGGCTAAATTGTGTCAGTTAATCAGTACTAGTAGAGGGAAGCAATTCAATTTAAACAAAGAAAAAGAAAACAGCAATTATGTCTGGGAGCATTTTTATGGCGTCCTTTATTAGCAAAAAATGCAAGCTGAAGATGGCATCTGTTGTTCGAGCAAAACAGCATCTCGAAAACAGAATGGACTTCATGAAACCAAATGCGCATTTGGTTGGTTCATATATATATGAAATTATGAGTGGTAGGTTAAATCAGAGGAGAGTTACCAAGTCTGTCATGAATCTCACATCTGCAACAGAGTTAATGTGGTTGTTGATGCTTTTCATCTCTAAGACAACATGACGGTTCACATGCTGCATTTACAGTATGCATTTCTTTTGTGTGTGTGTATATATATATATATATATATAAACAACACAACAAATGCTGACCAAAGAACTGCTAAATATCAGACAGGATTCAAACAAGTGGCCTCAAGAAGATGCGGCTCATTTTAACGAGCCAAAAAGCACTGGACTAAATGATTGATCAAAAGCAATTTTAAAAAAAGTAATAAAGTGGCGACTCTGTTGCACATACAGACACACGGAGACCAGCTGGTGTTTTATAATGCCGTTTATTCTCACAATTGGTTACATTGATAAAGTGTACAAATCAGTGAGCAGCAAACGGAAGCCAACACATCCATCTATGGGAAATGGAGTGTGTGTGTGTTTGTTGTTGTTCATGTGTGAGCTTGACAGAGGCACCGGGAGTCCACTGCTGTTGCCACCTTCCTCCTCATCTTCCTCCTCCTTAGTGTTGAAGACAGCAGCGGACTCCCAGCTCTCAGTGCACTGTACAAGGTGAAGATATATTCCTTTATCTGCTTTTTTCTGCAAAGCGGAGCTTGTTGTAGCGTTGTGAGTTAACCGGGGACTGAGACAATGACACAGAGTCAAGAGACTTTACTTGCCCCAAATAATAAAATCAGTATATACCTTTATAAAATAGAATAAATAAAATAAAAAATATTTCTGTTCAATACATACAGTCTTTCTTTCAACCATCCAAGGGCATGCAAGGCTTTTCATGATTTTCCATTTCTCCAGATCAAAAGAATGCATAGATAATTGCTCAGTTAAATTCAGTATCAACTTAATTGACGACTGTGAAAATTTCCGATCGCCTCTACTGTTTTCATGACTTGCTCACATATTTTTCTTATCTACAACGACGTATATCAGTATTTTACACTTTGGCCATTTGGTGAGTTTTCAAAAAAGGCATTTCATTACAAGGAAATAAGAGAAAAACTAAAGACATTCAAAAATGAAAAGATAGCTTATAACAATGATTAATGCCAAATGTTACATTAAATGGGTTTTTATATACACACAGAATTTGTCATCTCATTCACATTTCAGCATCCCTGTGACAAAAGAAAGTGACGTGGATGAATTTTCTCATCAGAATCTCCATTTACAAAACTAGCTCCTTTAACTTGTGTATGTTCACTGCGAATTTCACCAACAAGGTGCAACGCAACAAGCAAGATGCACCGAGATGTCTAAGACTTTGTTCACAAAGCAAAACATCCCCTTAAGTTGCTCTTGCATTGCCTGTCAAGCTTTCCTTCCTCACACGGTGCATATGCAGATTACAGTTGTAAAAGTGGCTGATATATCACTTGAATGTGCAATTTGCAAAAATTTTTTTCTTCTTCTTTCATTTAACACTGACGTAAACAAAAAAGCTTCTCATGCTAACCAGCTACCTATAGTTTGGGTGGCTAAAATCAAAAATGTCACAATCAGATTTTATCAGCTTGCAAAGTAACTTAGTAAACGAGTTGGTGAAATACACTGTCTGTCTGACATTTTAATGTGGTCATTTGTAACCCTCTGAACCTCAAAACCTGCTGGTGGGTTTAAAAAGCATGTTGTCTTTAAAAAAGAACTGACACCATTTATCAAAGCCAGACACTGTAAAAACAGAGAGAATCATTAGATGGTGAACTTTCTGACAGCCCTTGAACTATTCATTTGTGAGGTGGCATTCGATTAGGAAGGTTCACCAAATCTGAAAATTGTGATATTTCTTAAAAATCACTTTGTTCGACAAGTCTCATTCAAACATTTTCCCACAATAAACTATTTGCATTCACCAGATTCTGAGCAACTAGTGACTCTGATGCAAGCCAGCAGTCGCATGACAAAAATATGGAACTATTTTGGCTGAAATGCAGGCTGTGTTTACACAGAGCACATACAAAAATTGTGGAAACAAATTAAAAACACAAATAGTAAAATATCTTTAGCATATAAAGCCAACATTTTTTCCAGTACTGGGAACACCTGTGTCTCTTTCCACTGTGGCGGTCAGGAAAAGGCAATAAATGCAAGAAAAAAAATAATAAAAAAATTTAGAAATTACAGATTCTTGTGTAAAAAAAAAAAAAAAAAGTTTTGAATTAGCACTTGGTATCAGGATGAAAGACAGAAAGTAGGCGTTTAGACATTACCAGTGAATGATCCTAAGACGACAGAAATAAATTGTGTTCTTGGATTGTTGTGTAAAGCCTGGTTGTGTTAGTATTAGTAAATAGGTAACTACAATAATGAGAAATGTGCAGTCAGACTGTGTCAGGCTGCTTAATTAACATACAGTTGAGTTTCTTGGACTAGCAAGACACAAGTTACATTTACATCTTACCGTTAATATTTTCAAACAGTATATGTTTTCATTTCCAAAGCTACAGTGAAGGCTTTCAGAGACAATCTTTAACTTTTAGCAGCCTTCAGGACCTTCTTCTACACAGTGAGGATAATCAAGCAGATGATATGCTGTCGAGAACAAAGCTTGTACATGAAGCAACCATGTAAAAGCTGTTTTAACATGTGGAAAGCTTGACAGGCTGTGATCAGACGGGGAAACGCGTTTGTGATTTCAGGTGAAATGAAAGACTTCACTAGTTATTACCATACATCCACACTCATCAGATGTGTGATAATAAGGAACTAGCGGTGTGCGATTGAGATCTGTAGGAGAAATTTTCACACACACAAAAAAAAAAAAAGACCAAAAGCAAGTGATCTCGTGGCACTGATGATAAAAGTAAGAAAACAGACAAGGCGCATTCAAGTGAACAGAACCCTGGAGACAGATAGATAGCAGCCCAGGAAAGTCCTGTTAGTTTGAGTCAACATGTCTCTCTTGTTGGCTTCTCCTCTCAACAACAGCCAAAGCTGAAGATGAAATCGTTCTCTCTCTTTCATTTCTGCACAGTTCAGATCTCAGCTGTGGACAAAAAAAATGATCGCAACCATACCCAGGTATAAAAACACATTCCGCAAGTCTTCTTTCTATTCCTTCAGGCTTTGTATATGTCACCGATCCTCTTTAATTAGTGGACATGAAGTCTTTGATGACCGGCTCTGAGGTGAGATTTAAAGGAATAGTCAGTCAAATTTCCTCCAGCATGTGTATCAAAGAGCAGCAGCAGCAGCAGCAGTCTTTTACTGGCTACCAGAGAGCAGGCGAGCAGAGGAGAGAGGGTCAAAACTGTCCATCCCCATCTCTCTGCCTCCGTTATGGCTATCATCTGTCATTTTTCCGAGGGACAACAGAAGAATAAAAACGTAAACAATAAGTATATGGAGGATGATTCGGGTGGAAGGTCACCGCTCGTTTGGGCTGATTCTTGCACAGCTGACGAGAAACGGAAAAAAAAAACAACTAAGAAGACAAGATAAACAATCAATGTGGCTTCTGATTTTTCACCCCTTCAGTCTCTAAAAGCAGCAGCAGTGTATTGATATTGTATAGAATGGTTCACATTTAGATAAAAAGTTCATGCAGGGTCAGCTGAACGGGTTAGAGGATGTAGACTGACTGACAAATCTTTCTCTTCAGTTGGCAGCAGCTTCCTTCTTTCTTCTATTCATTGCTTACTGATAATGCAACAATCAGACTCGATGGCTTTCACGACTCCTTTCTTTCATCTGTGTACTGTCACAGTCTACTGAGGATAATGAGAAAGAGGGCCAGAGGGGGAGGAAAGCCACTACAGACTAACAAGACAACCAGGTGAATGGTGGGGAGTGTGGCCAGGAGTGGAAGGTCATGCTGGCAGCACAGGCACAGACACAAATACACTAAGAGCATGGAGAGATCAGCAGTTCAGGCAGCCGTGAGCTCGCTCATCACACGTGTTGTGCTTGAAGGAGCGCGTCCTGCTTCTTTAATGTGTGCGCTCATCTCCTCGCTCCTTGGTGCTGAGGGGGATGAGAGTTACTTATATGTACACGACCGCCTTCACGACCATCATTCAGGTGTTTCTCGTGGCTGTTCGGAGTCTTTAAATCATCTCAGTTATTTTGAGGAAACAGACTTGAATTGCTGCTCAAGGGCCAATGAGCTCTTGAGGTGGAATTCCAATTTGCTCCCAAAAAGCAAAGGAATCGTGACGGGTTCCCCAAACCCTGGGGTTTGCTGTGTTTCCATGGTTACTGTGGTGGTGGCGGCGGGTTTTTGGCAGCGATGTGACGAGTTGCCATGGTGACTGGGGGCTGTGGTGGAGCGCCGGCGAGTGTTTTCCGCCATGGTTACTGCGGCAACTCGGTGACGGGCCTCTTCTGTTTGAGGGTGTCGATGAGAGACAGGACGCCTCGCTTCACGCTGGTCGAGACCCGACGCGACACCGAGTCACCGGGGGGTGATGAGCCACAGGCCTTCTGGGAGGGGGGGCGGGCCACCAGACACTTCTGGTACCGCAGCTGAGACAGAGAGAGGTAGGGAGGGCAGGACAGAGAGAGAAATACTGTAAATAACATAGAGTTACTGATGCTGAGTGTACGGCTGTAGTGTGTGTGTGTGTGTGTGTGTGTGTGAAAGGAAGCTGGACTGGTGCAGGCTGCTAGCTGTGATCGATAGTAATGACTGATGATTCGTGTCACCGTGAATCAGTTTTAGTGTGTGTGTGTGTGTGCGTGTGTGTGTGTGTGTGTCCATATATCCAAAGTTCTGATATGTGATCAATAGCTCAGCCAGCAGTCGACTAATCCTGTAACTCACACCACAGCGAGGTGCAGAGGAAGGTGAGTAACCTCCGCTAATGGGCTGCATTACAGCAGAAACACCGTAGACGTCATTCTGGGTTGTCATCAATGACGTTGTAATGATAAAATAAAAACACTGTAAAGGTGTTATTGCTGTAACACAACGGCTGTTATAACAGTGCTAAAAAGTTTTCAGCAGAGCTATAAACACGGCTGCATGCAATCTACAACACTTAACATTTAAACAGAAAATCTATATGACATAACTTAGCGAGGACATCCTCTTTCAGAGACAACGGATGCTGAACACGCTCGGTATTTTAACTTTGGGTGGCCTCTCTTGATTTGAATGAATGTTTTAGTACTTTGACAGAGGGTCCCACTGCAACCTGAACAGAGCATATGGGTTGGACAGTAAAACACAAACCTGTCAATTGCGGAACACTCAAACTTAACTGCTGGCAAGGGCTTTCACTTTGAGAGAGAAATATGTGCCTGTCTGTACTGGGATGACCTTGGTTTCAGTAGAATTTGCAACATGCAAGCATTTTTTTTTTATTGTGGTAGCTTTAGTTCAGCTGTTGTTGAATAAACACTTTTCATAAGACCCACTGGCTTTGAGAAGGTTAAGCATTAAAATAATTTGTCAACTTGGGTTTTGAAAGTTCTTGGGACTTTCTGAGGTTTGTGTGGAAATGCGAGCTCGACGAAGCATGTTTAAAGCTTCTGAACCCCAAAACTCACCAGTGGGTTTGAAAGACAAGTCATTTTTTAAATCACCAAAATTTCACCAATTATCATGACAGAGCGCAAACTTTATGATGGTCCTTGAACTTCACATGTGGTACTTGTTGTTTTGTCAGGGAAAACAACTAAATGTGAGCTAAAATTTGAGGTAATTCATCAAAATCACCTTATTCTACAAATTTTATTCAAAAATTAACCAAAAATTAAATGTTTGGAATAACCAGATTCATAAAGAACAAAAAAATGATGCGCTCCTCGGCATAGTCGAAAAGCCATTATTGACTCGGTTGCAAACAACAGTCATGTGACAAAAATTCAAGGACTTTTCGGCAGCAGTGGCTTGAACTGCAGGCTGTGTTTTCACAAGTAAGTAATTCAATCGCAATAGTATGTAGCACCACCATTTATTTACAAGTACCTGTGGGAATTCGGAAAAATATGGTAAATTTAGATTCTTCAGATTTTAAGGTGTTAACAATGAACTCAATATTTGTCTTCATGGGAATAATGTTCACAAAGTTGATTTACAGTGTTGTTTAATCACCCTTAATCAGTCGATGATCACTTTATACAAACTCCAACATAACTCCCACAGACCTCGACTTGAGCTTGCACTATGGGTATTTCTTAGTATTCCGTAAGCAAACAAATCCGAGTTGGCTGAGTTGTGTTCTCGGCTCTGCACCAGACTGCTGCTGTGACTCACCATACAAGCTGCCTGCACAGCCTCAGATACACTCCCTGCGTTTGGGTCACACCAGAAGACGTGACAGTCAAAACGATGGCCGCCAGCGTCCATGATGAAGGCGAACGTGTGCACATCGCGCCCAACACCCATGAAAGACAGGAAACGAACACGACACTCCACCAGCACTTCCTCTTCATCCTGCGCAGAGGGATTAGGGAGTAACATGAAAACGTCACAAATGAACATGTATGTCAACTTTACGTATTGAGCTGTATGAAGAATAAAAGACACCACAAGAACACATTGCTGAAAGAAAGTACAATCATCCAACATGTTTTATGCACTTTAATCTAATAGTTACATGCACTCATACAGGGGAGCTGCCCAGTAAAACTGCAGCCTACTAATAAACACACCTACACAGACATACTCCTAATAAACAGTTCCACTGGGGCAGCTGGATTTTAAGTGCCTTGGTGTTAAAGCTGAAATCCATAACTTATTTAAATGGAAAACTTTTTTAAAGAAATTTTATGTCACCTGCATGGTTGAACATTAACTTTATATGCAGAGTTAACAAGAGCGGAGTTGCTGTCTGTGAGCAGCAATTCACTCTCATTACTCAGGTCAGCAGTTTGCTACCTTTATAGTTGACAATATCAATAAAATCTGTTCAATCCTAAATGCAGGTGATGTATTTTTCATCATTTTGTAGTTAAACACTGTTGAAATTTACCATAAAATGTCCATAGCAGATAAACCTTAAGATTTTGTGATGGCTCGTGGAAACTGCGGCACTTATCTGAAGGAAACAAAGCTAAACCAGGAGACACTAATTGTTCAGATGACTAACAGTTGGAAGACAAGTGTGTGCACTGGCATGTACTGTATGGATGACATATGCTGCAGGCCTTTTAGCAGTAAAATACATTTTGCATACTGTAAGCAGCTGCACAAATAGGCTGAAGAGCCAAATTCAACCGGCCTTTGGATGCTCTGCCATTGATCAGCTATGTTCCACTGCCATCAAGTTCATGAATGAATAGAAAATTGTGAATCTTTTCTTTTGTATTTTGCTTTTCAATAGAAGACTGACAAGAACAGCAGGAAAACCACCAGGTTAAGTTGGGGATAATAGTTTGGCAACAGTAGCTGTGTGTCTGACCTTGTCTTTGCTGATGGTGACCGTAGCATCTGCCACATTTAGGGCCACAGGAGTCCAGTCCTCTCGGTTGGAAGAACCAATTAGACTGTCTATAGCTCCGTTCAGTATATCCATACCTGGAGAAGAGGATGGTGAAAAAAAACACATTAAAGTTAAAGTTCAATTCATATCAAGAGCTGTATCAACACCAACCACATACTTTGCATCTCTTTACATTGTTTGTGAATATTGTGTGAGTGTGTATTCGTGTGTGTGAGTGCGTGTGTGTGTGTGTGAGTGAGTGAGTGAGTATGCGTGTGAGTGTCTGTACATGCGTGTACGTGTCTGTTTCATACTGACCTATTGGTCTGGCCACAGGAAGCATCCCAAGGTAGAGTACCTGAAATTTCTGAACCAGCTCTGTCTTTGGTGTGGGGAACTCTGCTGGGGAGAATTCAACAAACACTTAATAGGTGCTCATGTATAATGGCATTATATTAAGTGTTTGAACAGTATTACATTACCCCACACCTAAATATTTGGGTGACTGTATTTTGCATTGTTTGAAGGGTATGTTGTCCTTAAAAAAACAATAATATTAGCCAAAATTGCACATTTATTAGAGCCACAAACTGTGAAAACAGAGAATCATCAGATTCTCAATTTTCCAACAGTCTTTGAACTACTTGTCTGTGATATATTGTTCAGTCGAAAAAACGCCATACTTTCTCAAAACCATTTCATTCTACGTGTTCAGACCAGATTCCTTAAAAAACAAAAAAATCTGCATTTCTCTGCATGACCAGAAACCTATTAGTGACTCAGGTGTGACCAACAGTCAGGTGACAAAAATTGAACTGAACTGCAGGTGGTGCAGAGCAGGTCGGGAACATGTATAGAAACAAATAATAATGCTTCCATTTTTGTAGAATAAGCAACCAAAACAATTTGACTTTCAATTTTTGTCTCTTTTTTTAAAATGGAAATATACCTTTATTATACTGCCTAGACATTTTTGAGTTCTCTCTACTTGTAGCCAGGGCTGTTTCCATAGAAGTGCCAAACTTCATATTGCAGTGAAAAATGAGGCCACAGTTGAGCCCAAAATGTGCCTGGAGCAAACAACGCCCAAAAACAGTTTGGGGTTCAGACGTTTAAACAAGTCTAGTGATGGAGCAATGTGATGAACAATATGTTAAGTTATTCTGGTTGTCAAGTGTGTTTGGTTGAGTTTATAGAAGCTGACAACAGTATTATTTGCACATTAAAAAAAAAAAAATCTGTCCACATTCTCTGAAATGAAAGCAGAAATTCATGTAAGTAAGTTACCATCAGAGATATTCTGCACCTCCTGTTTCCTATGTTTGAAAATGTAGTGCCAGTATTATTATTTTAAGCAGAGACAGTCACTGTAGCTGTTTGATTTGATGAGCTGTCAGCAGCAGGCTGGGCTGCTGTCAGTCTGCCTGGTCGTTGGTGCATCTTGTTCAATCACTGTGCGTGTATATAAATGAACCCGCACAGCACCACCAATTTCTCTCTGACACAGTGACAGCCAATGGGAGAGAAAATGGTGAGTGATGACAGGAATGCTGTTTTTTTTCCCATCACATTTATGAATAAATGAAATAGTCAAAAATTTGCACCAAGCCCCTTTTTTCAAAACAGCTACTTGTTTGAATATTGTATATTTTTAAGCTACTTAGCTCTTGAACTCTGCTCTCTTTTAAGTACAAGAACGTCTGTCTTGTTGCATCTCTCGGCTCCTACTTCTCCCATCTGTCTGACAAATCAAAAATTTTCCTCCACACCTTCTCTGTAAATCTGACAGTGTAAAGGTGAGATGGTGAACACTAGCGCATTATGCTACCGCAGTGGACCATCAATGAGTTTATCTGTAAACCAACAAACAAGTGTTAAAGGCAGCCTGTGGAGTTTTCACCCATGAGTAATATTAAACATCTTGCAGGTTTCACACTGTTCCACTGATTCAAAGCTGGCAGCAGTAAAGCACAACAAAGAGTAGCAGTGGGCCAAGGGTGAGGAAGAAGACTGCAGTAAATATGGATATAAACAATGCAGGATTTAAAATATTCAAAAAAAAATTTGCCGTGTAAATGTTTTATAAGGAAGCAAACGCATCTTTGAGACTTCAAGGACACATTCAAAGCCTTTCTGGTGAGCAGCATTGAATGTAAACATAGATTTGTTTACATGAAAGCTCCAAAGGGCAGCTTTAAGGCCAAAACTTAAAATCAAAGTGATAAATGTGGAGAAAACATGAATGGATTTTAATGGCCCCAAAATTCTTTATTTATAAAACTGCCTTTATGCTCTATTCCGACATTGGTGCATCAACAGAGGTAGGATGGTGGTGAATACAGAGGGTTTTTTTTTTTTTTTGAGACTTTCTGCTCTTCCATACGCCCAGTTTGACTGCATCTAGAGTGCCACAGAGGCAGATAACTGCCATGCTTTTATTGATGCATGACACTTGTCGCAGTCACAGTCACAGTCACATTCTCACTTTAAAAAAAACACACACTGAGAGGGTTACTATATGTAAGAAGCCTACCTTGTAAGGGGAGATCTAGTCCAGCCTGCATCCTGTCCTGGAGAGAGCCTCCTGCCATCGCTTTGGCATTCTTTCGCTCTGTCATTATCTGGAGGAGAGAGAAAGAGGGAGAGAGGGAGGGAGAGGAGCAAAATGAGACATAGAAGTATGAGGAAATGGTATGTAAAAACAAAGCAGGATCGGCATACCACGGCAGAGACGCAGGGGAGGAGAGTGAAAAGACAAAGACGAAAATGTGTGAAAGTGCAAAAGGATGAGGAGGTAGGGGGGAGATGAAAGCATGAACACACAGGAGCTCAGGAAAACCTCGAGCAGCTTCACCCCTGATACTGTCATGCTGTCTACCCATTTCACCTGGGGAGCACACACACACACATACACTACACAAATTAACCAGGTCACACTCCTTCTTTCCAAAGCAGGATAAAAGCTTTTCCTGCAGTGAAACTCACAGGGAGAAACACACACTGCAAACAGAACCAGACAGACAAAAACAGCCACTCATTCCACTCACGAATATGAACATATGCCTCGAAACACCATATATAAATTATATATCCATAATCAGAGAGTTTGTCACAGCAAATCTGCATCTCGGCATCCCCTGATGTGACCAATTCTCCACCTTTCCCTATTTATCCTGTTTCTGTGTGACAAGTCTGAATCAAACAGACTCCATGTTGTACAGTGTGATGTAGGTCGGCTGTCAAATTTGGAATGTTTAGTTTTAGCGTAAAGGACAAGGACAAATGTCTCCTTCTCCATATTTTCCTTCTTAAAAACCTTTCAGAGACAAGCAGTTAAACCATTAAAAACTTTAAAAAATTCTACTCAGAATTGATCTCAGCACAAAATTATGAGTCCGTATAAGTGAAGGAACCATTTAAAGATCTTTCCCAACACTGATTTAAAGTTCCAAGGCTATAAATGTGTTTTATTGGGACAAAAGGAAAGTCCATTAATGCAAAGCAGACACAATAAAAACATGGTTTAAATACTTTTCTTCCAGGCCCTGTTTAATTTCCATCTGTATTCAACAAAGAATGGACATGCAGTGTAGAAAGATCTCTCTGAGAACTGTGCTAGGGTGAAAAACACTTTTCAGGCTGACATTTACATGGGTTTAATCGTATTTTTGGACTTTCTGCAGGTACTGTGTGCAAAGATAAAAATGTGTGCCCAGACAATGGGACGGTAAATACGATTAAGCAATACAAGCACTCCAGAGGCTGGTTATTTTAACCCTCTCAACACCAAAACCCGCCAGTGGGTTTAACAGGAACTTTATCTTTTATTTTGTTATTTCAAATCACCAAAATGGCACCATTTATCAAATTTAGAAAATGTTAAAACAGAACCAATCATTGAATTTTCCACTTTTGCACAGTGTTTGAACTAATCATCTGAGACGTGCTGTTCCACTGAGAAACTTCACTGAATCCAAGCTGAAAATCAGGATTTCTGATCAAAATTGATGTTTTATTTAAAACTCGGCAAAAATAAACCATTTTCTCTCATTGGATTCTGTAAAAAAACTAAAAATTCTGTGATTCTCAGTGTAACTGGAAAGCCATGAGAGACTCAGTTACAATCTACTGAACTTGAAAAAAGGGACTTTACAGCATAGTGTTGGTAACACCTGTGGGGACTTTGAAAGAGGTTGTACATGTTGATTCAATTATATAAAATGTTCCTAAAATATATAATCAAAAAAGTTTTTCCGTTTTATAATATATGGTATTAAAACCGGGTTGTAGTGTGTAAACTGTATTTTTTTTTGTGTTTTGTGTGTTTGCTGTAATCTGTTTTGTGCTGGCCTCTTGGCCAGGTCACTCTTGAAAAAGAGGTCTTAAATCTCAATGAGTTTTTTTTTTTTTTTTAACCTGGTTAAATAAAGGATATTGATTGATTGATTGATTGATTGATTGTGTTATACTAAACACAGCACATATTTATGTCTCTCTACTTCTAGCCATGGTTGTGCTGTTTCCTTAGAAGTGCAGGCCTTCATATTGCAATAAAAAATGAGTCCACAGTGAGTTAAAACATTTGACACTAGCAAGAAATGTCCAGTCAAATAGTTAAAATGTTACCTGAATCTATTACTTCTCAGGCAGATAATTTTTCATTGTGCAAGTGTGGTTTTCAAGAGGCTTTAGATGAGTTAATTTGTAAAATAAACTGTGATAACCTCCATCAGCACTATATTTTCTTGTCCCAAAGCCTTTTCGGTTGATTAGAAGGGGAAATATTCTTCCAACGAGTCAGAGCTTCATTTGAGCCTATTTGCCAAATCCAAACTTGGCCTCGTGTCCAAAGCCTCCTCTAGTCTGAACAACTCACCCGGGAGCAGATCTCATGCAGGCTGGTGGCGATGGCTTTGGCTGGTGTGTCACAGCGGAACACATGACATTTCAGGATCCTGGTGTTTTTATCCCTCGCCACATATGCAAAGTCCCTGAGAAGAGGGAAAATGCAGTGTTAATGAAGACACACAACAGAACGATGGGTTTGCTGGACTCGCTTTGGGGCTACTTGAAGAGAAGAAAGATAAATGATGAAGCAGGGGTTTGTATTCATCATGTGTGTGTGTGTGTCCAGTTTTGAGACTGACAGGTCTTGGAGACAAATGAGAGATGAACTGACCTTTATTAGTCTGACGAATACAGGACACACACACACACACACACAAACACACACAGAAGTCGATGGACCCCAGAGATCAATAGAGCAGCGTGATGCAAGAGGGAGTCGAATAGAGTGACAGCAGGCAGGAACTTTCCCCTGGGCCCACTGGAGCCGAAAACAATTTAACTCCGCCGAACAGAAGGAATGGAGAATGAAAAGAAGGAGGAAACGAGACGGATGGAGAGAGGAATGAAGACATGGAATACTTTGAAGAAGAAATATAGCTGCGTCAAATTAAACCGGCGCAGCACACAAATACACACTCGTGATTTACGTTGTTCGCAAATGCACAAACCAATTTAAATAACTTCTCTCAAGCTGTGTGCTCCAATATGCCATGCAATAGGAAACACAGGCCTGAAGGTTAACAAGATTTCTGAGCCCAGACCCTCAGGGAAACTCCCCACACAGTATTCCTATTTGTGTGTGCGTGCATACTTCAAAAAAAAAAAATGCATGTAGACAGACAAGGACGGAGGAGGTCACCTTCATTTCCTACATCTCGTGTGCACAGTGATACAGTACATCAAGAGCAACTTTGAACACCAAAAAAAATAAAAAAGAGACGCAGAGGAAATTAAACAATAAGAAATGACGGAGATGATGGAGAGATACTGTGGGAGGGTCACAGATGAAAGGAAGGAATGTGTTTACCTCTCTCTGGATCCAAGGAAGCAAGGGAGGAAAGGAAGACAGTTAGTGGAGGAAGAAGGAAAAAAAAATCCATCATGCTGGCACCCTGCCGCGGGACAAGTTGCAAAGAGACCCACTCACTCACATTCAAAATTAACCTTGAGTGACATATTCACTTCTCATTCAAGTTTTTTTTTTTTTTTTTGCTCAAACAGAACTACTTTGGTGTTTCAGTGGCATGCATATGTATGGGCTGAAGAGGTACAGCACAGATCTCAGCAACACTGCAGGTGATTCTTAATGCATACTTAACCTAAAATATAAAAAATTGACAGAAAATTGAATAAGTTATGAAGCAAAAGAGAGAAGGGAGTGAATAGTGGTGAAGAAAGAGAATTCTGGTTGGGCACAGTTAGCTTTAATTGGCTGCTGATGGTTTGTGTTTCCTAAAAGACATAAAGGAAATAGGTAGGGAGTGTCTAAAAGCCACATAAAAAAGAAGTTACTGAGAGAGGAGCAAGAACAGTAAGAATATAATGAGACAAAAGTGAAATAGTGGGAGAGGAAATTGGAAGTGAACTGCAACAACGTACAAGATAAAGATAAAAGCGTAAAAGATGAGGGCAGAATAAAACACCCAGATGAAGAGAGAAGATTAAAGTCGGAGGAAAGAGAAGAAAGGAGAAAGAGGGGAAGAGAGAGAGAGAGAGAGAGAGAGAGAGAGAGAGAGAGAGAGAGA